GCAGCACGATGAAGGAGAACTGTCAATAATAATATCAAGATTTATCGGTTCGATATATTGGAATGAATCATCAAATGTTTTTTTGATTTCAAGAATATGAAAAGCAAGAAAAGGTTTTCTTTCAAACAAGTCAAACGTCAAATCAAATAAGAATGATTAACTGTTTACTTTCTACAGAGAAAAAATATGCACGAACATAGATAATTTTATTTTATAATATAAATTATTATGAAAAATAAACCGATCTGCGAAACAGGCAGCTCATATATGTAGAACATACCAAAATATTGGATTGGTGTTAATTCGCTAGAGTATTTTCTAAATTTCATCCTTATACTCTTCATGTATATAGAAAGAGAACAAGTTTTATCTTAAGATTTCTTATATGAATATATGTTAATCATGATTTGTGCATAAGTCATATATGTATCATAAAATAAAAATTTCCGAAATACAGAACATGTAAGGCGCTTGAACGTAAAAATTTGTTTCAAAAAATGCTCATGTTAAATTGTTTTAATTCGCATAGTTTCTATACTTATTCTATGGTTTCCTATAAGTAATTATTACTAAGTGTACCTTTTGTAACTACGAAGTGTACTAAAATTATAATGAGAACATCATTGCTACACAATCAAAAGAGCATAAAAGAGACAGGTGATATGAAAATCATTAAAAATCGAAATATTTTTACATGTAAAAGAATAAAAATGTGAAATAGTGCAGTTTGCTTTACTACTTATTTCAATGTCTTCCTATACGATGAGTTTATTTCTGATAGAAGAGTACACGTTAGAGAGAATAAGTTGTTATACAATCGTTTTCTCAATGTTTTTAGATATTACTGGTATGTTTTGGATCAGATCAATTTTGAAAACTACAGCAGTGGACAAAATTATAAGAACAGATAAATATTTTATACAACCCTTCGTGCATAACGGACGATGCTCAGAAAATCCGAGTGACGGATCACATGGTCACATGTTTTCTTTTCGTTTAATTACTATTTTTGTTGCTTGTGTATACCATTGATAAGTGGGACACAATTTATATTTCATTGTTCGTTACTAAATCAATGGGGAGGGGAAAAGTCACAACTTATCAAAAATTGAAAGTCCTTATCCTTTTACAAGCTGGTTTTTGCATTTAAAAATATTCGAAACCAACTTGGTGTTTCAAATGGTTGTATTAGCAACGTCGCAAAAAAAGACAGATTGAAATTATCATTGAAAAATCGTCTCGGTCAATGTCAAAAAAAGTCGACAACGTTGCAAGAAGATCGTTATTTATTACTATTAGAGTATCCCTGTTCCCTTCTCGATGTTCCTTTTATTAAGAATCAAAAGAGATAATGTTAAGCAAGAGAAGAGAGGATATTATATAAGAGAGAATAAAGCATCAAGGAATGCGAGTTGAATAAACGCATTGTGAAGAAAGAAGTGAGTCAAAGAATGCGAGTTGAATAAACGCATTGGGAAGAAAGAAGTGAGTCAAAGAATGCGAGTTGAATAAACGCATTGTGAAGAAAGAAGTGAGTCAAGGAATGTAAACACATGACTGTAACAATTACATTTAATGAAGAGTGATCGTCGAAAAAGTAGTCGACAATTAGCATTCGAGTGGAATTCATCACACGAGAAATCAATTAGCCCGCGAACAGTGCTGTGCCGATATTGATGACACGCTTCGATGATTCTCCTTCCTTCTCTTTCTGTTCTCTGCCCATTGTTCTAATGTATCTCTCTCCTATATATACGTACGTTATGTATGACGTTGTTACACTCTGGAGACGTCAGATGACACAATACACCATCGTGCCGACGGGCATAGGCGACACTCTCTAGTTTTGTCGTTACACTATGGATAACTTGAAGTAGCCTAATAAACATCTTTGCCGAGAGTGGCACAAGCTACTCTAATCAACCCAGGTCGATCCAAACGGACCACCGTAAACCGGCGTAACATTATCGTAAACGGCCGTTTTTGCATCGTATTCTGTCGTAAAACGACCGTTTTAAGCCGAATTAAGCCGTTTTAGCAGGGGCAGTATTACGGCCATACACGGGCACCGTATATTAGCCGTAAAGCCTCGTAAAGCCGGCGTAATATTATCGTATTCTATAGAACATACGACCGTATTACTGCCCCTGTTATACGGGGAAAATACGGCACGTAAAACGGGCCGTATTTGCATCGTATACAGCCGTTTACTGATCATTTTCTTCGACCGGGGAAGTTGTTCGTTACAAGTGCGTCGATGCTTCTTGAATGCCGGTTACAAAAGTTATACGACGAAACGGAAGCCGTATCGAAATTCTAGCCATTGTTCCAATCGACTAGAATTTGCCAAACAGTGTTCTGACTGGCATTATAGTGACTGGAAAACTGCTATTTTATCTGATGAATCTCATTTCGAAGTTTTCAACCGCGTATTCAAGGTGGTGGTGGATCAGTTAGTGTGTGGGAAATTATGGCAGCCGAAGGAGTTGGTCCTTTGGTCTTTTACGATGGCCATATGAATGGCCAACATTATATTAGTGTTATTGAATCTTTATTATTACCATATAGTGAAAAAATTTCAACCAAGATGATACATGGTATTGTATGCAAAACAATGTACCATGCCATAAATCAGATTTTAGTATAAAGTGGTTCAAGAAAAACAAAATTAATGTGCTAGATTGACCGACTGTGCCATCGGATTCGTGTAAAAGGAAATACTTCAGCAAAATATTGAGTCGATTTTTTTGAAAGCGCTGTATAATATATTTATCTGTTCTTATAATTTTGACCAGGTCAAAAGAATATTTTTTTTCCACATAAAGAAATAGATTTGAAAAGATTATAAATTGATATTCAGATATAGCATACTTGAGTGTATATGCACTGATTATTAGATCGATTCAATCAGAGACAAGGGAGACGAAAACAAATAAAGATACTTAAAAAATTTTTGTTCTTATAATTTTGATTCGTTGTTTCTTATCGGCCTTTTAGACTGCGGCAGTGATATGAATTGTAAACTGTTCAACTCAAAAATAAGTTAAACGCATGAATGCAGTAGAATGCAAGTGCTACAATATCATCTTATTAAAAACTAGGTTCCAACAAAAATAATAATTGTAGCAGTCAGTTTTTATAGTATTTCTAACTTATAAGCTTCCAATTCCAATAGTACACAATCGAATTATTTAAGTTTCCTGAAGCATCCGAATAGAAGCCAATATAAGACATGAGAAGGTGATTTCCACACTACGACTAGTATAGCTTCTGAGATCATCTGAATTTTGGATCATTTAAAATTGAATGAAATATTTCGTGACCTGCAAACTAAATCGTTTTTCATTGCTTTATTGTCGAATAATTTCGCTAGATATTTTCAATTGTGTTCTATGAGCTAATATTTCTTAGAAATTCCTCTAACGTATCTCCCCTCAAATTTTTGATATACTCAAGCTGACAAATATTTGCGATGTTTCGACAATTGAAGCTATCTTCTTCGAACATAGTATAACAATATCTATATATACGTATTTCTTCTTATGATTCTCCGGTATATAATCTTCCAGTCAAACAATCATGAGAGTCAAAAGTAGTTTTTAATCAGGACAAGAGATTCATTACAGATAACGTTTAACTCTAGATTGAAGAATAAAGCTGAACAGAAACCAGGAAATTCGTCATATTCTAGGTTATTTTGTCTTCAGAAGCACCGGAGACAAAGTTCATCATGATCAATTAAAATATTATCGAAAAAAAACGATTTCATGGCGCAGATCCGATAAATTTTTATTTCAAAATTTATCAAGTGTAGACAATAAATATTCATGCTAGGTTAATCGAGGCTAATATACGTAACACTTATCTAGTGTATCTTTTCAGAGAGATAAGCTTGTGCACTACCGATTCCTGAAGTTTTTGAGATGGGAAACTTCAAGTTCATGGATGGTTTTTTAAAGATTTAAATGCTGAGTATATGACTATTGAATGCAATATACTTCTATGTGCAGAAGTATATAAATATATGACTTATATTTGTACTCTAATCTGTAGAAATAGTAGTCCGGTTTGATTTACTGAGAATACAATGCAAGCAAAACTTGAAATTGCTATTTGAAAATAGGATCAAGCCGAATAGATTCAAAATGGGTGTAGCTGATGAAAACAGCAGCCGATCTATAGCACATCTACATCATAAGCGATTAATTTGTGCTATAACATTGATTTTTAATGACTTTGATTGAGGCTGATGCGATGCTCACATCAGAGGTTGAATCTGAATCGAAGTTATAGCAATGCGATAATATAAAAAAACTAGCAAAGAGCAATATTGTAGTCAATATCAGAGCTCTTTGAAGTTTACACCCAATTGCATGTAGTGAATAAGGAACCAACGCCATAGCTGATATCCCAGGTCGATCAAAACGGACCAACGTAAACCGGCGTAACATTACCGTAAACGGTCGTTTTTGCATCGTATTCTGTCGTAAAACGACCGTTTTAAGCCGAATTAAGGCGTTTTAACAGGGGCAGTATTACGGCCATATACGGACACCGCATATCAGTCGTAAAACCTCGTACAGCCAGCGTAATATTATCGTATTCTATAGAGCATACGGCCATATTACTGCCCCTGTTATACGGGGAAAATATGGCACATAAAACGGGCCGTATTTGTATCGTATACGACCGTTTACTGATCGTTTTCTTCGACCGGGGATACTCTCACGAAACTGTGTACAACATATTTTAGATTGGTAATATAATTGTTTCACAGGAAAGTATACAATTAGAATATAACTCAATAAAAATTACATATTATTTAAAAAAATATATCCTAATGTATGTCACTAATCTTATATTTTTCAATGAAAACAAACTGACAACAATGAAAATTTCATTTATTTGAATAAACACGCTGCATATAATATATTCAGTGTTGTGCGTTGCATGAGATGGTATAATGTGTTCTTGTCGTTTCTATTTGATTTGCTTTGTGTTTAATTTCCATCATCATCATCATAATCATCTTGACTATAACTATCACTATCATCGTTGCTGTTTTTCTCGCCGCCTTTTCGTTTTCGTTTTCCTTCTATTTCCTTTTCCAATGCATTTTTCATCACTATTGCGAAAAGAGTAGATTTAATTGCATCGCTAGCCGTGAAATCATACGAGTCCGCTCTTGCACGAGAAAATTGAGTTTCCATAGATGCCTTATCTCGTTTATGAAATGATCTGTAAAATTCGAGAAAAAAACGATTTTGCTGATTAAGTGGTTGACTTTTGTAGTCAAAATTATTTTCTGCAGCATATTTTTCAAAGATTCGTTTGTAAAGAGCAAATATGGATTCAAGTTCCACTGCCAGCGGACGTTGTTTAGAATCGTGATGAGCACACCGTTCAATTATTTCTTCAAAAACAGGACTATTCTTAGTCAACTTAATTATATTTCCTTCTTCTTCATATGCATGAAATGTCTCCGTAAATATAAAGTATAATGTAAGACCAAAAGTGAATACGTCGAGAGATTGATCACATTTATGTTTATAAAATTCTGGTGGCATATAAGATATACATCCAGTATTTGTAGCCATTTGTTGAGCAGTAGTTTGAATTCTATACGCAATACCTAGATCACCAATTTTAGCAATATACTCGTCATTAACGAGAATATTATCAGGACGAATATCCCGATGAATCATCTTGCGTCCATGTATTTTACGCATTCCACTAGCAATATTCAAAGCCATATTGAGCTTTGTTATGATGGAGACCTTTTCTTTTTGTATCACTGATGTCAAACTGCCCTTATTCATGTTTTCCATAATAAGCATGCACTGTACTCCACCATTACTATCTGGTAGTGTATGATGAACATAACCATACAATTTGAGGATATAAGCGCCTGATAATTCATTGTATGCAGATAGTTCTTCTACAAAACTTTTTATTAGTTGCGGATTGAGTAGAACATCGAATACCTTACAAGCAACTTGTTGATTTCTTGAAATCCATTTAGCTTTGTAAACCGAACCTATACGATAAATGAGTATACCAAGCGCCAATGTAATATAGAGATATTTCAGTTGAGATATTAGTTTTAGTATATTTATATGTATAGATTTGCCTCAGAAGAAAATTGAAAAATTTCTTGTGTAGACAGGTGATACTTGTCGTATCCTATACTATGGGCCCATGATAGCTCAGAGTCTTTGCCGACATATGTATTTCTAACTCTTGATGATACTATGAACTGTGTCAAACAAATAATTTCAAAAACGCGATCTAATTTAAATAATTAGACGTGACTATCATAACATTTTTTAAAACATGGTACTAGAGTTATTCTTTTGATTTTTTTAGACAACTCTACATAGAGTATTCAATGCATCGAAACAAGAAGATACAATATAAACTTTGATCAAGATTTTCTGTTCATTACTGTTGTTGTTTCGCTAAATGAGTTAAGTTCGTGTTACAATAGCAACTGGTAACTGATTGATTCAGCAGAAAGTTAATATTTTTCGTAAGATAAATGATATGGAGTACGATTGCATTAGAAAACCCACAAAGTAAAAACTACTGAAGATCTTCTGAGTGTGATCAGAAAAGTTAAAACTCAAAATACAGATCTTACCGAAATTGCCTTGACCCAATTTGTGGCCTAATTCAATATCACTCATTTCAATTACATTCAAATTATTTTCATCAATAACGATCAGGGGATGTTTCGCTGTATGATGACGTGTTTCTTTTTTCTTCTTCATGCATTTCAGGCATAGATCATAACTAGGACATGTATCACATTTGAACCGGATTCCTGTAATTGATTTGGTTGAACAACCGTCACACGCCACTCCTTGATGCTTGGCATTTTGAAAATTTTCTACTAATCTTTCCATGGTAACTTCTTGATCAACATCGCCGATCATCCTACCGAATAATTCCATAGGCAATTTGAAATGAGCAAAAGCGTGTCCACTCTTGTGACTTTCTGTTTCTCGTCGTTTCTCAAAACATTCCCCACATACATCAAAATCTGTACATTCTAAACATCTATATCGATCACATAGTATTGGCCATTTGTCACAAATGTCACATTTCGTATGATGTGTATTGCCATCATGTACAGACGAATCTCCCTTTTTGCTAACATGGCTATCATGTATATGTTTGTTACGTTCGTTGACTCCGTGATCTGGTAATTTCTAAATGATTGACTATTAGGTAAGATGGAAATATCGGACAGAATTTTTGCTTGGTTTAGTAATTTACTCTAAAGATAGTTCCCAGATCGAAGGGAGACGGCCCTAAACAGTCGTGGGTGTGGGTATAAGTAGAGACTGTTTAAGCCTATACTTTCTTCGCAAAAGTTTTCAATAGGTTACTATCAGTTTTTCACGCTATCAAGTCTGAGTTACCATTCTGCAAGTTTGTTTCCCTGTAGATGAACATACCGTATGAAACGCAGAGCCGTTATGATGGTTATGATCTTTGAGATGGTCTAAAGCGATAAAATAATATACTATTTTCAAATAGATCTTGTTGTATTTGATACACCGTACTCTTGTTTGCTAATGGCGACCGAACTGGATGAACACTGTTTGGTGGATGCAGAACTTTTTGTTTTGAATCTTAAAGAGAGACAAAATTGTTCAAGAATATTCAAGCACAATGGAATTATACCGCTGATGAAAACCTAACATAATACTATGAATGCTTACACTACTTAAATATTTCAGAGGATGTTCTCTATACGAACTCAGCTGTATGGAAAGATTGCTAACAAAGAATCGCCAAAATAAACGCACACTATTTAGATGAATTCCGTTTAGAAAAGCTTTAATAGTTATATAGAATGACCAATATCGTTCCAACTTGGTATTATCCGTACTATATGAAAAGAATTTCGAAAATAAAATTAAGTTGAGATGTATTGAGGACTGTGTCTTTTTCATTGTCATAGAATTTTTCCGTTGCATATTTGATTCTAATCGATAACACCTTTGACTTGTGCTCTCAAATTTGGTAAACTACACTCTTTTCATATCTATGCTGTTACGAGCTAAAAGAACATTCTAGATTTCTCTACATAGGCAAATATATCACTTCAGTATTTCGATGCCTATTGCAGATCACAATGCTCAAATAAGGAAAAAACTCAAATACATTAAAATGACGTTTTTCGACTGTTTTTTCCTTCATCAAATGATGTGATGTGCTCATACAGTTGAAATAGCAATATGTACAAACGAAGGCCCGTGTATGCACCTGTTTTCCTCTGGTTTCTGTGAGTTCATAATGAAATGGATGAAACGTAAATGACGATTTGATTCTACTTTTGTGTTGAACAACTCGATAAGAAGCCAAAAAACAAATGAAAATGACTATCAACATGTTTGCACCATTTTTTGCTGTGTTGGAAAAAAATCTAGCCAATATTACCCCAAACTACAATTAATATTAACGTTCATTAAAAGGACTTTAAAAACTGATTCGTTCCACCGATTACAGTGAAAGTATTGAGAAAATACCGGTCAACTCATCGTATGCTGCCGCGTTTATCAAGATAGAAAGAGTCATTAGCAATCACTATATTCATACAAACCTTTTTGAATCGATGACTTGACAGCAGCATGATGTGAGTCCGCGCAGCCCATGTTTCAATTAATGTTTGTCTCAAAGAAAGAGCAACCTTCAAAAGCAACGAAGTAATTGATTGTCGATCACAAAATGTTTCTCTCGTAAAAGTAGCATGCGCTATTAACATGCAAGAAAAAAGAACGAGGACAATAGCAAATATATTTGGAAGTTTTAATGCAGTGCCGGTGAATCACATTGAACTCTAAGTTTGATTATAATTAGCGATGAATGCTATGACACAAACTAGCAACTCATTTCAAAGTTGCCCTTTCTAAATTTTCTCACAGGAGCAAAACAAAATTCGAGTAATGATGCTTTTGTTTTTAGTGGAGAATATTTGTTTGATTGTGTAACTAACATACAGCACTCATGTTCTTTCTTCATATGTGCCTGTCAACACAGAATTTGTACTTAAAATTGAAAAGACAGATCAAATCGCCTGTCACAGAAAGAAAAACTAGCAAGTTAGAAGAACAAGTTCCACGTATATGAGTGAGTTAGGATGGCCAATATTTCTGTTATTCACAATATTTGCATGATACGGCAACAAATTTAATAGATAGCCGCCCTTTCTCGTATTCATGGGCTTGTTACTACGAAAAATGGGTTTATAAGATCTACTGATAACAGTTCAAGAATATGAGAAAAGATCAATTTGAAATACTGCTGGGAACAAGCGCGATAGCCAGTGGCAAGTATTTTATTTTGCAGAATGAGAGAAGATAGAAAGTCTAAGTTTCAACAGACAAAAAAACACAATTTATACTGACTTCCGAAAAGAAAATAATGAAGTGCATATATTTTAAAGATATAAAACCATATTTACGTAAACACGAATACAACTAGTTTAGCATCATCAATCAGGCACATTTGTTGGCATTTGAACTTGAGAATCATCTCAAGAAAAAGCGTTGTTCTTTACTATGCAACCACAAGTTGCTTGATAGGAGCTACGTACCGACGAACAAAATGTATAAGAATCCTATGTTGAACCGTAATTGATCTAACTACAAATAGCTGACGAATCCTACTTTGAAATTATTATGTCAGTATATTAAACTCGAAAAAGTTTATTGTTTACTCAGTATTCGAAAGCATTAAACAAACAAATTGTTGCTTAAGCTTTACAAAGCAGAAAGTTAGTCGATTAAATAATTTGTGAATTTTATTATGTGAAATTCATTATGAAAAACATTGACTTTTCAATGGAACAGTATATTGAAAACGTCCGTTGGAATCCATCACATGTACTCGATCAACTTCAAATTCATTGGTTGCCTTTGTCCAATTTTGTGTAAACCGATTTCCGACTTCAGTCAAATCCTGTTTATCCAAGTCTCCTAATGTTAGAGTTCCATCGAAATCATGAGAATTGTTTAAATTCAACCGTTGAATCGACTCGATATCGTTCGGCTTAAGAAAGAGACGTGATGTTGAATAGTTGAAACAAATTGAACGTGCACCAAAATCAACGGTAAATTTTGATATTGAATTGATGCGCGAATGTAGATCAGACTCTTTTGGAGCCCTATCATATTCAGCAAGAACAATTTGAAAAGGTTTCATCGGACGAAATGATGTGTCTTCAAATAAATGTAAAAGACGAGTGGAAAATTCATCCGGTGGAATTATACATAAGCGACTTTTTGAAGTTGACATTGAACGGGTTTCTACAAGCGTCTCAGGTGCTCCGATCGACATAAGTTGTTGCTCATCATCATGTTGCTCGTTGGCACCAACTAAGAGAACTTCATTTTTAATGGAAAATAAATCATTGGGATCATTTTCTCGACTAATCATACAAACACGATCAATTATAAATTTAATTGGTTTCCAATTAGCTTTCATTTCAACCATAATATCTGATATTCTTGATGTTGTTGCTTGACCAAGTGTAAGATGAGCTTCAAATGAACGTTTACTTCGGAGATTATTTGGTAACAAGTTTTCAATGATTTGTTGAAGTTCAATGACATGTTTATTTACTTTTGGTCGTAGATGAAACGTACATTCGTTACCTTTCTGTTTAAAATAATCAATTGATTTATTATCGAATTCAATTTCGAATGATGGTCTTGCATTAAGAATTGTTTCTAATCGAACTTTTATATTATTAAATTCGGATTCAGGTGCAAATGGATAACATAAGTTAATATGTGGCATCCAACGTAGATAGGCTTTATCGTGAACCGAACGAATCGATTGAATTTGCTCCCAAAGATTTTCAGGTGGGATCAAGCAGAGCGCTGTTTTATGCGACGGTGCAGTAGACATGATGCCAACGTCAATGCCTTCGCTGCAAAATAAAAGAAATAAACGTGGTTTACTGACATTAAGCACGTTGTAATTGCGTCATTATTGCACAAGAACAAAATAATGTTGCAATCATGCAATTGTTTATCAATAAACATGATGAAATCGATGACTGTTTAATGAAAGATTGACCCAAAAACAAACACAAGAAAAACAATGGTCTTGAAAAAAGTTACATTTACAATAATCTGTAGATATTTTAAAAAAAAGGTTAATGCATGATGCTGATTCTTATTTTTCGTTGAAATGCAATGCACTTTTACGTTCTTTAACAGCGTTCATCCTTGTACATGAATACTATTCAAGTTTGTTTAAAACTCAATAGACAGTATTCAATTACTTGTTAATAGCTGAGATTTTGTCCTTAGTGTAAAGAAAAAAAAGCAAGAAAGAAAGAAAAAAAGAACCTTCGACTCTTTTCGCTGCTCTTCATTTCTGTAACAAAGGAAAAAAACCGTAAACGATAGTAATAGATTCTATCGGTGTGCATCGCTGCAGAACAGATGCAAAACATACAATTCTATTTCTTTTATTTCCATCAATAGTTGAGCAAAAGACGCATTAAGACAGCAGTTGTTTTGTTTTTTTCGACAGCTATGACGAATCTCAAGACAACAAATACGGAATTTCTTCCTCGTGAACCTCAGAATCCTCAAGAACTTGCTGATTTGGTAAAATATAATTTTCGATGCTATTTAAAATTATATTTTTATATTAGGTTCAAAATACAATGACTCAAATACAAGAAAAATTCGGACAAATGAGTGATTCAATTATGAAAAGAAGTACAAATAATAAATTTTTCTTGCGCACTGAAATTTAGTCGTTTGCTGTCTTTTTTCAGTTGATGATTTGGGTCAACAAATCGATGGTCTCGAACGTAACATAGCACAGGTCATCGCAAATACAAATGCTGAAGCTTCATAAAATTCCCGATCGCTCTCAATGCTAACAACATGAGTTTGAATGTCCCGAAACATTCGAATTTCCTTGATACTGAATGATCATTCTCCTATTTTTTTTGCTGATTGTACATGAAATACTTGTCAAGATCTACTTGTGTGGTTTTTTTTCTTCTTCAAAGATTATCTCACGCATCATACACAAGTAAAAGAAAGATACTGAAAGACGGATAAGTTTTATTTATTAAAATAGAAAAAAAAAAGATTCATGGCCAATAAAGACTGAGATAAGCTTCTTTACGTTGGAGTTTTTTCATAACTCGATCGTCGACAAGCTAAAATTAAAAATATTCAAGGAAAGAATAAAAAAGAAAATCGATTATCCAATACCTGAATTCTAGCACCAGTACCGGCATGTTGATGCATATGCGAACAATCACGAACCTTTTGGAATGCTTGAAGATATCTATAGAAAAAATGAAATTTTACTAGAGTTCGAATGAAATGAGTGTGAGAAAATTGAATTTGAATATAGAAATATAACGATCAGTAACTATTGACAAATAATCGGAATTTATTCTTTCCTAAAAATAAAAATTTCGACTAACTTTACTTACGTTCTTTTAAATTTTTCTTGCCATTGCCAATTAAAATTAAAACAATCGGCGCATAAAACTTCATTTCGATATTGATAATAATCACCGATAGGTTGTGTAAGACAAATTACACACTAAAATAATCAACAACTTAAAATCTAATAAAACTCTTTAAGTCCATCTCAAACCTTATCCTTATTCAATGGCATACATTTAGTTTTAACTGCTGGTATTAATTTAGTTCGACCACCAAAACTATGAAGCATATGTACTTGACGATTCTGTTTGACGTCAGATTCATAACTACCGGGTCTTAATTTTCACACATAAGATAGTATAGAGGAGAAAAATAAATAATTCGGCAAAGTAAATACCCTGGAATATTAGTGCTTTTGAAAACTGTTGGAAATCTGTCGCACGAAGAATTAAATGGTCTGAATGCTCTTTTTGTTTCTGGTATTTTATTTAAATCCATCTGATACGTCTCTGGGCTTGGAACGTCAGTCTATTCCAATGAACAAAATAAATCATAGACTTTATGTATTTGTCAGAAATTCACAACAAAGAATTCGTAATCAAGCAACTCTTTTCGTCTAAATCACCTTCGGTACAAAAACTTCTCGTTTTTCTGTACGTGCATTGACAGTATAACCACGACGACTCATCGGTTGATGTTCAAGCACATAGCGAAATGTTGTCTTTTCCTCATTATCGTATGAACTTGGTCCACTACATATTAATAAAGCAGAAAAGAAGAGCATATATAAAGAAAAGCAAGTAATTAGTCAGCCAAAAGCTACAAAAACAAATCAAAGATTTACAGATTTGATACGCCACCGTATGGCGTCCGAGCATTTCCAAAATAATCATGCGGTATATCACTAGGAAATATAGGCCGATTGAGAAAACTTGTACCAAAAACAACCTTTGATGAAGAAGGTTCTTCGCCTGTGTAAAGCGAGCAAAGCAAATCATGCAAAGAATAAATAAATCAGAAGAGCAAAATTAATCATAAACGATAAGTCTTACCAGAAAACATTTTTTTGTGTTGTTGTTGTTATTCTTCTTCTTCTTCTACTATTGTATGTAAAATGAGATAGGAATTAGCAATCGTTTATCAAAATAAGGTAAGAATTCGTCGTCCTGACAGCGTGTTGTAAATAAAATGATAGATGTCAGTAAAAATAATAAATCATATCAAAAGATATTGAAATCAAACGTATTCATTATGAAAAGTATTATTATGAAAAGATCAAATTTTATTTTTCTTAATTAATAATTTACGTTTGATAAAGTCTATCACATAGAAAGTGTCGTAAAAATGGCAATTTATATGTTTAGATTATATTTCATGTATTGATATCGTCAAGGGCTACAAAATGTATTTAGTACTGGTAACCTATTCATGTACTATATTTTGGTTGGAAAATAGGAGATAGTTTTCATTGACGAAGACATTTCTATTGCTTGTTGTTCGTTAATTAAGTGTATGAAGCCATATCAATCGTCCAAAAAAATAATAAGCTTGAACTACTAGCAAGCAAAAATTTAATTTCATAAAAAAATCTCCAACAGAAACGTTGAGTACTCTAGCACAGCGCGATGCCAAACGTGGTTTAAATAACCTTGATCAATAAATCATAAGAGAACAAGAATAAGTGGTTTGTTGATTGATGAAACACTACAAACAATTTGATAATTATTTACAACATACTACGACAGCGATAGAAAAAGACAGGCACAAGTTCAAAGCTTAGTCAATTCAAAAAAAAACAAAAAAATAGTTAGCTGGACGAATGCAGTTGATTGTTTTTCATGGAATAGAAATTTTTTATCTGATTAAATCAATTATATTAGAAACTGCATAGATTATAGATTGAAGTAAAATCGTTATATAGGGTAGAACATTGAATTACGACACGTTTCAAGTGCCTCTCGACAAAAGTTATCGTGCACGATGCATCTAAAATTTCTTCGAGATATCATAAAACACTGCAAGCGAATTTATTTAAACATATAGTAAATGAAGCATTTTACAAAAGTTTTTTTTTCTTCGCATAATTCATTTCGGATTTTATTTAACGATTGATAAAAGAATACGTTTGTAATCTCCTGATGTATCACCTCCAACATCTTGAGCTAATGAACGATTATACAGATGTTGATATCGTTGTTTAATTTGTGCAAGATCGATCTAATACGAAAAAGAAAATACTTTTTCATTAAAATATTTTTTCTATATATGAAATTTACTTCAGAACGTGTAACAATAACACGTATAAGTGTTGAGTCTCTTGTGCCTAAGCCAGAAACAGCTTTATGAATGCGTTCAGCAAAAAATGTGGGTCGGTCACGTATGCATGATATTAGAACCAGATAAGCATCTTGTGCATCGCCAGAAAATTCCGATCGTATAACTTGTGCAATATCTTTTCCATGTTTCTATAAAAGAAAATAGCTTGAAAATCGTCATCACTGTTTTTAGAAATAACTTACTCTTTGATATTCTTCAAATGTAGCACGAAGTTGATAATAACTACGTCGAGCAAATATTGCATTAAATGTTTTTTCATCTGTGCCAAATTTACCAGCGCCAGCTTTGTATAAATCTTCTGCATCTTGACGGGCACGATTACTAAAGTCATAAAAAAAAGTTATTCAAGAACAAGAAGTTATTCAGAATACCGATCAATCACACTTTCAATGCCCATTTGACGGGCCTGTTGAATTTGTTGTGGAGTTAGTTCTTCACGATTAGCCTTGACAAAAATAAATAATTTGATATAGAAAGTCAACGAAGATGCAAGCACTCTTACTTGTACAGCAGAAATCAGCATACGTTTAAAGTCGGCGCCTCGTACACGATGACTAATTTCATGTTCGAGATCTTTGTTATAAGCTATTAAATTAAAAAATTGGAATTAATTATAAATAAATAAATATTTTCTTTTACTTCGTTTGAATGTATCAACAATGGCACGAATTTCAGCATTCGTTCTAGTAAGCAAAATTTCTCGTAAAGTTCCTTCTTTTCCAGACTAGAAAAAAAAATCAGAAAATATATTAACTATCTATGCAACAAAATTAGTTTCTTACACTCATAGCTTTATGTAATGACCATGCTTCATAAGTGGCAGGTGCATCAAATAAAGCACTGATAACTTCTTTGAACTCACCACTTAATTCGCCACCGAGTTGTTTAACTAAATCCTAAATCGACATAATTTTAGAATATCTACTCGATCGATTAAACGAATAAACATACAGTGCCAAACATCGTTTTGTAGGTAAGTTTTATATGTTGACGTTGAAAGTTTGATCGATTCGCAACAACATCAATAAGAACGCGTTCATTAGTACCTTAAATACAAAAACAAAAGTTTAGCATAAAACTATGTAAAAAAAAAGCTTTGATTAACCTGCTCCTTGCATAGCATGGCGAAGTCCTTGACAGTCAGCTTCAGCATTAAATGTTGGAAATGGAAAAACTGTTCCTTGGTAATTTTCTAAACTAGCAAGAAAGACCGATTGTTGCTCTTGTGGGGGTGGTCCAGGTTGTTGATATGAAAAAGGTGGCATTCCTCCTTGCTGAAATGTTAAAACAATAATTTTAAAGAAATTCAAGGGTAAACTATCACTTACACCAAAGTCAGATGGTCCTGGTATGTTTGGATACATTCCACCTGGCGGAGGTGGTCCAGGTTGTTGAGGATAAGCCGGTTGAACTGGTGCATTGCCATATCCTACAATAGTATGTGCATTAAAAATTGACACGTTCTAGATTTTCTACCTCCAAACTGCTGCGGTGGTGGAGGTTGTTGAGGGTAAGGCTGTTGATACTGTGAATTACCATATCCTACAATAGAATATATACAGATTATTAATTTAAATTTTCATCGACATTTTTCTACCTCCAAATTGTTGTGGAGGTTGACCATACATTGATGGAGGTGGTTGTCCTCCAGGTGGTGGTGGATAATTATTTCCACCTCCCATACCATACGATGGATTCGACATTTGATTTCCACCATAGGAATCATAGGGTGCTGGTGGATAATTCATATTATTGGAAGGAGCAGCGGTGGTACCATAGAGAGAAGCACATGATTGACTATCGTTATAGCCAGGCATTGGTGGTTGTTGTTGAAAACTATTATCTTGTGGATAATTCGGATAGCCACTATTACCTCCACCATATTGAGGTGGATAACCACCACCTTGATTTCCGTACGGAGGATAGCCACTCATTTTTTTTTATTATAAGAGCCTACTTTTGAAATATAAAATATATGAAATAAAAAGCAGCCGCTATTTAACCCTGAATTGACAACGAAGCTGACTAATTTTTCTTTTCTCTTTCACTCATTTTTTTTTTTTTGTTGACGCATCTATGTGCGTAAGTGTCTGATAATGTCGTCACATTGCAACAGAAAAGAAAAAGAGTGGGAGAACAAGCATAACAGAAGAAGAAAAAAGAACAAGCAATTTTTACTCAGGGTCGCCTGTTTTATCGCAGCGGTTCTGTAATACATCGAAAGCTGCGCAGAAAAAAAGAAGACAGATTTCTTTTTTCTATTATTCATAATGAAAAGAATTGCATAGAAAAAATTTCAAAAGCTATATAAATCGCACAGAGAGCTATTTTGAGAGAATCAAACTCAAGTATCGAGAAAACTTAGCAATTTATTTATTGGTTATCTCAGGTATATAAACTGAATAAAAATCCCATAGTGAAATCCAAATCTTTAAAATGCTTTTTTTTCTTTTCTCACATTATTCGAAAATGTGATAGTAAACAAAACTATGTGTCCTCGATAATATTCTTATTTCTTGTTATACGAATATAGAGATGTTACCGATATATTCGTTTTCGATATTATAGTTATGAAATCAAGGATGAAGATACAGTGACTGATTCCTCAGCTTTGTCTTATCCTCTTCATAATTTCTGACTGATGGACCAAAACCACTTTTTATCATTCATAATATCATCTTGCATTATATGAGAGAATTCAATTTGTTAATAATCACAACAATATAGATCCACTTAACACTTAATGAGATCGATAAAATAATGCAGAAGATGATCTTGAATAAATTAAAAATTTATGAAGTTTCTATTCTTCAGTATCATTGATTTTTTAATCAACTATGTGACCTCCTCTAGATATGTATATACATCTGAAAAATAAATATTTGCAAAAGAATCTCAACAGTGTTCATATCATATTGTTGAAATTTAAAACCAAATATTATACTGCTTTAATCATCGTTTACGATCCACAGATAGTAAAACACTTCTTCTATTAGGGTTTTCATATCCGTAACAACGTCATGCAAAGCTAGTTACATGAATTGAAATGTCGTTGTTTCATCATTCCTCCTGATACAATTACACCAATAAAAAAAAATGAAGTACCTGATAGAACAAAGGAATCATTCTTATTATAATATGAGAAACAGAGGCAAATTTACCAATCAAAGCTCGCCTTGGTCATTGGCAAACAATGACTAATCTTTGACATTTTAATAAGACATAGAATCAAATCTATACTTTTTTTATTCAAATGTTTGCAAAGTCGAAATTTCTTACTATGAAAATCACTTTTGATTATTCAACTTGGAACCAAGAGAAAAATTACACAACCAGTTAGCAGCATTGATTTCAGTATTAGTTGTTTGAGACGTGTCATTATTCTAAAATTCTAGAATTTTAGAATAGATATATATCATTTCATTTCATATTAGTATAGATGGAATTTTAGAATTTTCAGAATTCTAAAATTGGGTGGGTGTGGGTGACAATCAAAACTATAGATGTACCCACACCCAACAACCTCAAGAAAATTCTAAAATTTCATCTATACTAATATGAAATGAAATGATATATATCTATTCTAGAATTCTAGAATTTTAGAATAATGATACTGGTGGAAAAAGTTAGCACTAGTGCAATAATTAACGGCACCAAGACAAATACTGTTTTGAACTCATCAGTACCTCGTGTCCTTCAAAATTTCGTTTTGGTCTGGCTCGATGCTGCTATTGACGAATCTAATAAAGACGTTAAACAACCAATACAACATCTACAAAATATTATAGCATCTATCAGAATTTTTCCAGATTCTGAACAATTTATTGATTTCCTTAGTGATATTAAAGAGGAGGAAGTGTTCTTGATTGTAACTGGGTCCCTTGGACACCACTTAGTATCTGGTATAGAAATTCATACTTGGGTACAATTAAATTTCATTTATGTTCTTGATGACAAGCTAGCAACTCAGGAGCAATGGGCTCAAACAACATGGAAGATCAAAGGTGTATACGCACAACTTGAATCAGTTTGTGAAACATTGAAAATCAAGCTTAGACATTGTGATCGTTCTATGATATCAATGAATTTTAGTGGCATTGATCCATTATGTATGTATACTCAACTACTCAAAGAATCACTTTTGGAAATCGAAGACAACGATGAAAAATCTATTAAAGAATTCGTTGACTACTGTCGACTTCAAAGTGATATTCTTGAGCAGGACATTAATAAGGTCGAGTTTGAGTATCGCTCCTATTTTCCGATTTGATGGTATACGAGGACATACTTTATGTACTACATGCTCAATCGTGCTCTCAGACTAATGGATGTCGACATTTACACTATGATATTGAAGCCTTATACCGTGAGCAACAAAAACCAAGACCACAAGGAGGTGACCGGACAGTTGAGCTCCCGACACTTGAGCTTCACAAAAACAAAATTTTATTTGAATAAATTTAACAGCAACATCAAAAATGAAATAAAGCTCTTGCGCGTTTAAAATACATATATCTTGTTATTATATAAAAACAAGAAACTAATTGTTGTAATCTTGAGGGTGTGGGTGTGGGTATAGTTCTTGCTTATGTACACCCACACCTTCAAGGTTTTCGAAGATTTTACAATTGGCATTGTTAATAATAATAGAACAATATAGCAAGAATGAGGAAACCTTTATGAATCAAAGAAATATAATTCGAAAATCTTGCTCATTTCTGTAAAGATGGTTGACTTAGCCACGAAAAATATAGTCAGTCATCAATATCATTAAAAGGTTTCGCATGTTTTCGTGCAATATTTTCCAGTGAATTAAGTGATCCAATATTAATTTCGTGTGTTCTATACTTAATCAATGAAATTTCAATCTTGTGAGGCTCAAGTGTCGGAAGCTCATTTGTTGAGAGGCTCAGCTGTTGGTGCACCCCTTCAGAGCCAGCGAGGAGTAAATCCTTTTCTCAACACAGCATATTTCGCATAAGTCAAATTACACATATTCATGACGACAATACTGATCGACTATGGGAGGTCTATCTTACTCTCGTGGATACTGATGATCATGGCCTTAAACATCTTACTTGATACATGCGTTAAGAACTAACAGGTGGCCTATGAAAAATGGCGGTCTCATTATTTACTCAATATCTTTTTTGCTCTTCATTGATTAGAACTGAGCATTTTCCTAAAAGATTCAGCATTCAATTCTCTACAAACTCATGTGTAAAAGATTTTTTAAAACTACAAAACGGCTAAGTACTGAAACGTAGAAAAAAGGTCAAAAAATCTTCAACTTTCAAGCTCAACATACATTAACATTTGGGGTATTTTTCGACAATTTCTACGCAGGCTTAAGTTACGGGAGAAACATTTTCTGGTATTTTCAAGTACGCTCTTTTTCGATATCTTTGAAAAAAATTTCTTTAAAAGTGGTCTTCGCCTATTAAATCGATATTTTCTGAAAACTCGTCCATAACGCCTTAATTTCGGTTTACAAGAAAGTCTACTGCATACGAAACTTTGCATCACTCGAACAAGTGTAC